GACTCTCTGAAAACCGCTTAGAGAGGCCTGAAAGGCCTATGAAGCGGTATATAAGTCTGCTGCTATTGCTATTGAGCCATTCCTACCCCGACGGGAACGGAGGCTCCTATAGCCTTTTACTCCCACACTTTATCAAAGGCTGAATGAAATTATAGTCAGCTTGATAAAGAGGCCCTAGCAGCTGTTGCGGGAGTAAAACATTTTCATCATTACTTGTATGGCTGTCTTTTCCAATTGCTGATGGACCATAAGCCGCTGCTAGGGATTTTAGCCTGGAATCGACACACTCCGCCCATAACTTCCACGTGCATGTCACGTTGGGCCAAATTTCTGTCCGCATACTCCTATACCTTGGTCCATTGACCTGGGAAACACATGGGGCATGCAGATGCCCTAAGCTGCTGCCCGCTGCCCCTTTTAGTCTCTGACCCCACACCCTCAAATTCCATATTTTTAATTGATGAACTCAACCTCCCCTTCTGCTACCAACATTTCCCAATGCTTGCTGAAGGACCCTGTCCTCTCCGGGATCTTGGACTCGGTATGCAAGGGTGGCCACCAGGGCCTAGGGACCCTCAATTCCTCCCCTACTACAATCGACGGGAGGAATTGTCTGTCATGCAAGGATGTTTGCTATGGGGCTCTTGTGTCGTGGTTCCGACAGTGTTGCGATGGCCCATTTTGCTCCGTCTCCATGAGGGCCATCCAGGCATAGTGCGCATGAAGGCCCTCGGCCGCAGCTATGTCTGGTGGCCCTCCATGGATAGCGACATCACAAGATGGGTGCTCCCCTTGTCAGAGGGTTCAGCTGATGCCTCCCGCCGTTCTGCCCAGGGATTGGGATGTACCCATGGCCCAGTGGAGTCGACTACACATTGACTTCATGGGCCCATTACGGGCTAGACGTTTTTCATTGTACTGGATGCCCTGTCAAAATGGGTCAAACTTTTTCCCATGCGCAGTACCACATCCAGGGCGACCATTGCAGTATTAGACAGTCTTTTTATGACCCATGGGTTGCCAGACATTTTCGTGTCTGACAATGGTCCACAATTTACGTCTGATGTCTTCCAGACTTACTTGGCAGGCCTCGGCATACACCATGCGTTGGTAGCTCCCTTTCACCCAGCTGGGAATGGGTTGGCCGAACGTGCTGTGCGCTTGGCTAAGGAGTCCTTAAGCCGCATGAGACCGTTGCCTTGGTCCTTCACGATTACAACATACCTTAGGGCTCAGCATTCCATGCCTTGCCCAACTTCCGGAAAAAGTCCTACTAAGGTTCTAATGGGCCGCTGGCTACATACTACATTGGACAGACTCCATCCTTCCTACTCTTCTTATAGTTTCTGCCACTTAGACGCCCCAGTGCATTTGTTGTGGGGGAGGGGTTATTCACCCAGAATTTTCTGGGTGAGCCCAAATGGCTGCCATGCTGCATTACCCAGATAACCGGGCCCTGTTCTTACAGGGTCCACTCACTGATGGGAGACATTGGCGCTGCCATGTAAATCAACTGCACCATTGCGCTACGGTGGAGGTCCCTAGCCTGCAGATCAGACCAACCTTTGTTGACAACCGTGACGCGGCCTGCCGGCAAGATGTTCCTAAATTGGTTGAAGCCGAAAGAGTGATTCCCGTTGCAATCTCGGCAGGGGATGGGCCTCCTGTCAATGTATTCGTCCTCCTAATAGACATGGCACTCCTCCCCTGGCAGCGGATACACCTGTTTTAAGGTGGTCCCAGCGCATGTGCTGAAGGCCGGCTTATCTACAAGATTACGCTTGCGCAGTCCGGGGGGAAGGAGTGTTGTGTCCTCGGAGATATGACCGGTGGCTGCCAAGAAAGACAGGAAGAGCCCTGATTGGCTGTGACGCGCCTGCCGGCTGGTGGAAAAAACACAGTTTTCCCATTGGTTCCCCATCTGACAGCTCTGATATAAATAGCTGTCAGACAGGGGTTGTTGGTTCGTTCTGTTCTACTTGTGTTGGAGTTAATAAATAGTTCTGCTGCAACCAGTTGCCTTCTCAGTTATTGATTACGCTGAGAACAGACATAAAACAGACCCTAATCCTATAAAATGTTATAGAAAGACTTGAAACCATGCAAAGAAGCTCACCAACATTCCTGAGTTGAAACTGTTCTATAAAGAGGAATGGGCTAAATTTTCCCCAAACTGGAATTTGGAATTGATCAACATTATTGAAAATGTTTAGCTGCATTTATTGCTGCCGAAAGAGAACACACCAATTCCTAAAAGAAAGGTTCACATACTTTTGCTATGCACGAATAGGACGCTTTGGATCATATTCCTCAAGAAATAAAAGAAGATCTATAATGTTTTTTAACTTATTGGTTTACCTGGATTCTCTTTATTTAGTTTAAGGACTTGTTGTGGAAAACAGATCACACTTTAGGTCATATTTATGCAGGAATACTGATAAATTCTAAAAGGGTTCAGAAACGTTTAAGCATCACTGAATATGAAACAACCAGGGGAGGTTATCCATTGGGATGCTGATATGCTTTCTACTCTCCAATCTCAACCCAGTGAAAAATGCAACAGATATCCTGTCTCAGGGCTTGGAGACTTTTCAGGAACTGAATAGGGAAAGGCAGGCTGGTACTTGACTCAAAGAAGACAGAGTGACTCTTAATTGAAGAACTTTATGGTTCCAGAATTATACCATCTTTGACTCTTGAAAGGGTTGTGGTCCTTTGAATTTGTAGTTTCATTCACAGCTCTGGGAAACCATGTGATCGGCAGGGGCTTTGCCCAGCTGGGGCTGGTAAGCCACATGTGACCTTATCTGAAACAGGCTATTCCTAATTAGATTTCTGTAATTTGATCTCCTTAATGGTGTCCTTACAGACCACCTGGAAACTTCAGCTGCTCCAGAATGCAAGAACTAGCATGTTTGTTCACCAGTCTTGGTTTTGTAATGATGCGCTATTATTATAATTGGTTGCCAGTGTGTTTGTGAGTGCAATTCAGTATAATGGTTGCTACCTTTAAAGCCCTCAGTGCTTAGAGCCTTGTTATTTAAAATATCATCTATCTCAGATAGTCTCTATCTATCTATCCCACATGGCTAGAGAGTAACTATTAAGAGTTCTCATCCATCAGGAGGGGACCAAAAATTGGATGTTTTGCTGGCAACATCCTGGTAAATGCACTTTTTCCAGAAAACTTTGGGGTGGGGGGCATGGGGGGGTATAAAAATGTGTGCATATTTATGTCTGTACATAATTATTAATTTGTTATTAACTGTTATAACTTTGTTATTGAAGCTTTACAATTTAGGTTTATTATTTTAATAAACTACCTAAAATGCAGGATGCTCGAAGAGGTAGCTATATATGTAAATAAACAACCACCTAATTTGGAAAAGAGCCAATTTCCTGAAAGGTAAATGTGCATTTATATATTTTAAAAATACTGAATCTTGGAATGAAAATAATTTGAAATAACATACAGTAAAATTATGTTCTCCTTCTTTGTTTTGATACCATTGCAGAATTTTGCCCAGTGGAATGTTCTGTACCTTATTTTTAGAAAATGAGGAAGGCCTGAATTATTTTGTGTGTTTTTTTATACCTTATGTGTTTATTTGAATCCTAGAATCTCTTCTCTTCAGTGAAATTGGTGATCTCTTAGGAGAAGATGAACTTCAACTAGATGTTGAGAATGAAACCTATGTGAGTAAGAGGAAAGCATTATTAACCTTAATTATTTTATACTGTGTACATATCCTGGTTTTTATTCTTTTCAATCCAATAAAATGCTGCAAAGAATTTTATGTCAAGGGATTTAGGATTTTCTTCAACCATAGAAAAGAAAACAGAACAGAAAATGGCCATATTTAATAGGTGGAGAGAAATAAATGATAGAAAGATCAACTAATGAACTGGATCAGCCTTGGTGCTATAAAATTGTTTTGTGATCTTCCTGAATTTCAGATGTCACTAATCACAAGAATGCTGTAAAACAAGCCTATCTTAATTTTTCTGATTAGCAGTAAGGGGGAACTTGCTGTAGATTTAACATAAGAAATGTGAAACAATCCGGCTATTTAAATAACAGGGAACTTGGAGGGCTTCTAGTCCAACCCCCTGCTCAAGCAGGAGACCTTAGACCTTTCTGGCTTGGCGGCCTGACTGGCTGTGACCGCCAGTGGCAATGCTCACATGAGTGGGGCCATGACGACAATTGTGCGAATGGGGCTGTGACCTCCCATGACGCTTGTGGCAATGCATGAGTGGGTTGCGCGCACCGGCCAGCCACTCACACGGCCCAGTGGCGATTATGCCACTGCCTGACAGAGGGCTGTGGGCCACAGGTTGGGGACCCCTGCCCTAGACCGTTTCAGACAAATGGCTGTCCAATCTCTTACTATTTAGCAAGCTTTAAAGAATCAAAGGGCGTAGGTTGTAGAGGAGCCAATTAAATGTATTTACATCAGAAAGCATAGTAACTCTCTAAAATTGGCTTGTGACTACTTTCATACTTGCACTTTCAACAGTTTGCTTTCAGATCATAATACATGCATTTCCTGTTTTTGCATTCTGAATGTTTCATTTATTTATTTACAAGTATTTATGTGTACAAATAGTCCTTGACTTAAAACCACAGTTGGGACTGGAATTTCTGTTGCTAAACTTCCTGGTCATTAAGTGAGTTGCACCTGAATCTTGAGACCTTTTTGCCGCAGTTATTCAATGAGTCATGTGGTTGTTAAGCAGAACACACAGTTGTTAAGCAAATGTGGTTCCCTCATTGACTTTATCAGAAGTCTATTGTGAAGGTCACAGATGGCAATCATAGAACCTGGGATGCGACAACTGTAATAAATACATGCTAACTGCCAAGCCTTTGAATTCTGATCGCATGACCATGATGGTTGCAAGCGATTGTAAGTCACTTTTTCCAGTGCCATTGAATGATCATTAAGCTAATTGTTGTAAGTCAAGGACAACCTGTATTAGATATTTAAAAAGATTTCCTACTGTCTCTTTCTCTTGCATTATTAATGTATGATATTAAATTTGTATTTCATTGGAAAGCGAGTAGTCAGGCAAAACCCATTTTGCAGTAATTCCTGAAATGCTGATTGTTTCCATATTAAAATATGGACTTGGAAGGTTCACCAACAAAACCGCGATGGACAAATAAGCGCTGTCAAAATTGCTAATTGATTTTCGACAAATGCGCGCCGACAAATGCATGCTGACAAAATCGCGTCATCAACAAACCATAGACAGCCCAGTGAGTGTGCTGGACCTTTAACATGGTGGGACACGTATACGTACGTTACAACCCTAACCCTAACCCTAACCCTAAACATTTTTCAATTTTATTATGTTTGTCATCGCGCTTTTGTCATCGCGCTTTTGACGTCGCGAATTTGTGGGCGCGATTTTGACTTTACGTTTAAATCGGCGCTATTTTGTCGGCGCGCATATATCTATCGCGCAATTGTTGGGTCACGGACTTGGAATTGGTTAAAGCATCTGATTATTGGGAATTGAGAGAAAATGAAATATTAATTTATAAGATAGGGTTATAGTGTTGTCATGGCTGAGATGATTTCTTTTGACTCTGTATGAAACTTAAACTTGTTCTTAAAATTAAAAAGCTTTTTGAAATTTTAATTTTAAAATTTCAAACAAGAGATAGGAAAAGCATATTGATATGTTGATATGTGAATTCTACTTATACTAACAGATATGTAAAGGACAGTAAATAAAATAGTAAAACATTTCTGTAGTGTAAGCAATTTGTATTTAATAATTGCTGAGTTTTTTAAATACTTACATATCAGTAACATAGTAAATTAAATACCAGTACTGTGGATTATTAAGGTAGTGTTTTATGGGGGATTATGCAACGTTAATGGTTCAAAGTTTCCCATTTGTACTACCTTACTGAATGCTGGTGAAAAATAAAAGAGAACATATGTACTGCCATGAAAGATTACAACGTCAAATATTATCTTGGTAAACATTCTGTAGCTATTAGGCTGAGTCCTGGAAGGCATGGCTTGTTTGTGTTTGATATATAAAGCATATTGTTTCAGTATTCTAAAAGCAAGAAACAAAAGTGAGAAGGTAGTAAAATTGATTTCTTGATAGCAGCCTGGTATTTTTATTCTTTATTTTCAGTGTACCTTTGAGGAGCTAATTTGATAAAGCAAAGCAATACATAATTCTTTTGCAGCTGACCACTTCAGTTCTTTCCATAACCTTGCTTACTATCTTTTATAGGAAAGCAACCTTGGTGATCTTGACTTTGATTTAGATTTGATGTCTTGGGATTCAGATGCATGGGATATTATGAAGCAGACCCCATCAGGTAATTTCCAATTGAGTTGTTTATTACAGTAAGCAGTTGTAGAATTGTATAACTCATATCCTTTTCCTCAAAGAACTTAAGCTAGGAGAGGGAAATTACTACTTATAGCTACTTATCAAGAGCAGTTAAACTAGGGGGAAAAAATTAGTTGCCAGCCTATATGCCAGTTCTCCTAACTACTCAAAATTTCTGCTACATGTTCTCCAGAACTTGTCAGAATTGGCTGAATACCACCTCTGCTTTGGATGCCATCCTCCTTGAGAAGAATCTGTTAATTTTCTTTAATTCTTTCTATTAAAAATATAGATATAGAGTGCAAAGCAGAACCTCTCTCACCAGCTGCTTCAACAGATTCAGTTCCTTCTCCTTTACCTGTGGACTCTCCAGTACAACATGTACCTGTAAGTAATTTATTTGGGCTAGTTAGATGCAATGAGGTAATATTTAACCAATATTCAAAATAATCTTTATTGTCATCAACTAATCCAGATGCAAAGAATCAATTGCATTGCTGGTTAACTTTTCCTTTATTCCTGGCACCGGGTTCTTTGAAAGTATTCGGGAACCAATTAGCATTGAGTAGGAATGATACAAAGAGTAAAGTGCCAGTTTTGAAATCCAAGGTTAAGAGACTCGCCAGTGAGTGAGAGAGTCTGAAGATAAATTTGCCAAATCTGGAAACTGAGACAATCCATTAGATCTGCAAGTTTATGGCCTCAAACACATTCCACATCTCCTTAATTCTGTGTTTCTGCCCTGTTCTTTTATCCATCCGATCAGCTTCTGTGGTAGTTGGTGGACATGCATGCATCTCATTCCCCACCATCCAGCCAGAGCTTAAGAAGTTTTTTGGATGAGAAGCGAAATGTCTTCTACCTGAGAGACCGCCTCCTGCCATTTACCTCCCAACGACCAATAAGATCACACAGGTTGGGCCTCCTC